CCCCAAAACCCCAAAACCCCAAAACCCCAAAACCCCAAAACCCCTGAGATTCAATCGAATATTGAAAATAATTGAATATTTTATGAACATAATGATATTTTATTTGAAAATATGAATTTTATCATCCCACTCTTTTAGTACCTTTTTATCATGCTTCCTGATTCCATTTCGGATAGTTTTATCTTTCATTTGAGTAAAGAATTTTCTCCTATTGATCATATGAATATCCTTATTCCGCTGAGATATTTGTTCATATTTTATTTGTGGATTAAGAGTTGCTAGATAATCTATGCCCTTTTGGTATAGTTCCTTTTCATCATTAACTTTAATTTTCTTAAATTTATAAGTCTATATTCAATAAGTGATTATTTACAGGCTCAAACTTCTTTTTCGTAACTGGCATATTTTCAGCTTCAACTATATTGCATAAATTTGAGTCTCGTACCATTCTTGTCATATACTTCTTGATCCAGAATGGCTTGTTTTACGGGTAATCATAAAGTATCACTCTGCTTTACTTTATGATCTCCAAAGTCATTGGAAAAACTACTATAGGAAGTGTCTGAGATTTCTGTTTGAGGTTCTTTAGTCTCTTCAATCTTTTGAGGTTGCTTTTTCTGTTTAGTATTTACTAATGAATCGTATAGCTTTGTCATTTGAACTTTTACTTTGTTGAAATCCTACATTAATTATTAATTACTGTTTACAGATCCCATTATTTATCTGATATAAAAAGAGATTTAATACTGTAAGTTTAAAATTAGGATTAGAAGATGGTAAAGAATGGGATGCAACAATTTTAGAAGATAAAGCACAAAATATTTATCAGCATACTTTCTTTGTTAATAAATCTACATTCTTTGTTTAATCGAGAAACTGTATAAATAAATATATTATTTTATCTTGACTAACAGTCGAATATTGGTTTTTGGAGGAGCTAAGAAGTGTGCAAAATTTCACATTTTTTCTAAAATTATTGCTTTATACATAAGTATTGTCATTAAAATCTTTTAAAACAGTTTTATACTTTAGTTTGTTGTTGAAATCAAAATAACTCTACAATTAAGAGTAAAATTTTCTCTTCTGAAACAAATAATCATGAATAAGAGAGAAACAAAAAGGTAAATTTATGGAAAAATATACTGCCAAAGGTTTAATAATTCATTCACTAATTTTAAAAGATATCGCCTGCAAGGGTCAAATTTACACTTTGTCACTAAAGAGGTTACATATAATTTTGCAGTCCAGGAGATAAGATTACAGCAAGTCAATGGCATTAGTATTTAGATTCCTGATTACTTTAAAAATGTGTTTGTTGTCAATTTCTCTTTTATTCCGTGCTTCAAAAGAAAACCCCTTGGATATTGGAGGGGCCGGTTTCTGACGATGGCGGATAGGAGTTTGCTTTGCTCTAGGTATTAGTTTGCCATTTACTGTAAATAATTACTACTTTCAAAGCTCTTCAACTTATTTAGTCTGATCCGGAGAATTAAGTTTAGTAAATGAGTGGTGAAGATGATTCCCGTTGAGATCAAGATCAACTATAGTTTATCAAATTTAATGTTACCCCTTTTCTTCCACTCATGTTCTTTGCCAGGAACACTGAGTCTTTTGTGATTAAAGAATGTTCCCTTTACAAGATCGTTGTCCAGATTCTTATTTTATTTGCTGAGATAATTTTGAAGGATTTCTAAAAATTCTCATAACTCAATTTGTACTTAATAATATTATTTTTCTTTAAAATCGTTGAAGTTGGGGTATCTCAGCTCAAACCAGACTGGTCAATGTATGCATTGAGAACATCTTTGAACTTTGAAGAACTTGGAGAATAATAGATCTAAGAAATTATAACATTGGTACATTTCTGCTATGACTCTTAAACTGATTCTCTGCGATTAGTTTTTCAAAATTAGGATTTTTTATTTGTTGAGGAACTCTGGCACATATATTTTTAATTTGATTATTTCAAAGCACTATTTTTCAGATATTATCTTTTTACTATTGAGATTTGGAAGCCTTGACTCTATCAACAAATTTTGCGTTTCCAGTTATTTCCGGAAGAAATCTCTTTTTCTCACTGCCATCTCTGTTTAACATTTTGGATCCTTTTCCAGCCAATATTTTAAATAGTCTTGCCAGTATCAAAATCTAAACAATAACCCACCTTCCATCCCATTACATACCTTCTACAAACTGTGCCGATGCCTGATAATGGTGGTCTCTAAACCATAATGCTTGGTCTTACTCTCTTCTGCTTGTCATATTCACTACTAAAATTTCAATAAATATAATTTTAAGGGGTTTTGGGGTTTTGGGGTTTTGGGGTTTTGGGGTTTTGGGG